AAATACTGCTAGTTGATGGTATATGGAGGGGATTATAATCATTGCAATGATTTGTTGAATATGAAATTAATAATTTACCCTGTAAATCTTCACTTAATTCACACACAAAACTTTTTATTTAAAGAACTACATAAAAGAAAAGGAAGGAAGAAAAAGAAAGATAACTAACTCCCTTTCATCTCCAACACTATCCAAATTCTAAGAAAAGGACATTCATTCCACTTCTTTCTAATGAAGTGTAAAGAAAATTCAGACTTAGGTTTAGTTCCCTGAATAAACCATTAAGATGCCAGCAAAAGGCTTTAGAATAGGCAGACCTTGGGGACACTGCACACTGGTTCCAGATAACCACAATAAAGTGACTATCACAATACAGCAAGTCACCGGAGTTTTTGGTTTTTCCAGTATATATAAAAGCTACATCTCTGCTATATTATGGATTCCTAGTGTGGCCTTGTATGATAAGTACTGGACCTCAAGGTTTGAATCACATGGTCAGCAGTTCGAACTCACCAGCTGCTCCTTGGAAAGCCTATAAAGGATTGCTGTAAGTCAGAAATGACTCAACAGTACTTAACAATGACAACATATTATAGTCTATTAAGTGTATAATAACATTATGAAAGTTTGGAATATTCTGAGCATTACCAAAATGTTACACAGAGATACAAAGTGAACACACAGTATTGGAAAATAGTGTACACAGACTTGTTCAACACAGGGTTCCCACAAACCTTCACTTTATAATGTATGCAATATCTGAAAAACACAATAACCAGGGCATGCCTACATGTATTTACTCTTCATTCTTTATGTAAAATGCTTCATCCACGGGTTATTTTATTTTCTAGTCTATATGTAGGATGTGCAGTGGCTCCACAGGATAAGTCTTTGACTGTGAACCACAAGGTCAAACCACTGTTCAAAGCCCTCGAACTGCTCTAATCTTGCAATACATCATGCTACTACTATCTAATTTAAGATGAAATAATGATTTGTATACTCACAGAACAAGGGCTCCTGTTGGTTTGAACAGGCAGGGCAACAGGTAAGGCCATAGGGGTTGGAGGGGTTATTGAAATTTCACCAATTGGGTCTCTAGCAACAAGCATCCTGACTGAATTCCCACAATTCCTCAGTACTTGTGCAACTTGCTCACTGGGCATTCCTTGCACATTGGTGTTGCCAATCTTCAAGATATGGTCCCCTGTCTGGAGTCTTCCATCCTTGGATTCAAGAAACAAAATAAAATCAATCTAAGAAATCAATGATATTATGTCTACAAATCACTAACAATTCATCAAAACTCATTTCTGGCAAATGGGCAGAAAAGAAATCACGTAAAAATGCCAAATAAAAGATATACTTTAAATAAATAACTGTATTGATAATAGAGTAAAGGAATTCCTTGTAGAACAAAATGCCAGGAGGATTTTATAGTCAGTGTTGTTGTTGTTAAGTGTCATCGAGTTGGTTCAGAGCAATATTGTTGTTGTTAAATGCTGTTGAGTTGGTTCCAACTCATAGCGGTCTTGTATGGGGTTTCCAAAGAGCAGTTGGTGGGTTTGAACTGCAAGCCTCATTGTTCAAACCAACCTTTTGGTCCAGTGCTAATCCTACAGCACCACCCCAAGACTCCTTAAAGTCATTAGGATATTGTTGTTAAGTGCTGTCGAGTCTGTTCTGACTCAGCGACCCTGTGTAGGGTTTCTGAGGAGTGGCTGGTGAGTTTGAACTGCCAACCTTGTGGTTCAAATTGACCTTGTGCCTATCCTACAGTGCCACACCAGGGCTCTTTATAATCAATAGGCTAGATAGGGGGTTCCAATTTATCTACATCATCACCAAAATATTTTATTTTCCATTTTTCTGATAATAATTATAGTCATTAGGGTAGTTATTATCAGAAAAAGGGAAAATAAAAAGTTTTAGTGATAATGTAGGCAAATTGGAACCCATCCAATTCTGATGAAAATGTAAAATGGGGTAGCCATTATAGAATGCAATTTGGTGATTCCTCAAAAAGTTCATCACAGAATTACCACATGACCCAGCAGATGCACTCCTAAGTATAGCACCAAAAGAAAGCAGGCTTTCAAACAGACATTTGTACACCAATGTTCATTGCAACATTATCCAAATAGCCAAAAGTTGGAAGCAAGCCAAGAGTCCACAAATAATGAATGGACAAGTCAAATATGGCATATACATACAAAAGAATATTATTCAGCCATAAAGAGAAATGAAGTTCTCATAGATAGCATGGCATGGGTGAACCTTGAAAGCATGCTAAAAAATATATAATTCAGACACAAAAGGAAAAATAATATATAATTAAACATATCACAATATTTAGAATAGGTGTATAATGAACTAAGTTTACAAAGAACAAAATCTATAAAGTTTATAAAGACTAAGGGCTCAGATTCCATCCATCAAGATGGCAGACTAGAAGACGCACTACAGGGACCCTCTAACATCAGTGATACAAGCGATAAAATAAAACAGACATCGATGAAAAGGAAGAGGACAGTGGAAATACCATTAAATTTATAAAACACTTTAAAAGATTTAGGAAAAGGAAGCAGATTCAATGAGGAAATAATCTTTACAGAAAAAAGGAAAAAAGATTTACTGAATTTCTACTTCTTACATTCTATTTACATTCACACTACACGAAATAAAATAATGAACTACTTAAGACAAAATTAGTGTTCCTAGAGAAAAATAGGGGCAAAATTGCTTCTATGACTCAAACCAACCCTGAGTAGAATTATGGTTCCACCAAATAATAAAAGAACATGTCTAATCATTATTTCCACAATTAACTTGACCAAAGAATAGTATTTCTGCATAAACTACATATTTAGTCACATCTTGTGCCTTATTTTTTTCCCTTTTTACCTCAACTCTTAATTTAAAATGATGTCATCTGCATCTGTCACTGAAAGTCAAACATTTTCTCCCTGACAGAAAAACAGGTGTTCTAAGGAAATCGTAAGTGCAAAAACAGTCATTAGTTGGATTGACAGAAAAGACACCAACAATGACAGCCACTTAGTCTGAGTCCAGCAGCCCCAAACATTGCATTGTACTGCTATTTTCTGATCATCATTCTCATTTTTTAGCTTGGATAATTTTCAAGGAAACGAAAAGGCATAAAAGTCCTATTTGTTCTTTAGAAGAAATCATAAATCATTGAAAGTTAATAAATAGCTATGCCAAGATTCAAATATACAGCATACAAATTAAACATCTAAATATAACAGTTTATTAACCAACAGATCCTTTCAAGAGAAGAAGAAATATGAATATGGACAAAAATCATGTGGAAGGTAGAAAAATTGAAGTAACTGATGCAACAAGGTATATTATTACCATTATTTGGAAAACACAAATATTTATATCATTTATACTGCTAATAAAATATACATATATATATTTCAATCCAAGTTAGCAGCTTTAGGCTACAAAACAAAAACAAAAACATTTTGTGCTCCAAGTTCTCTGACAGGCTGCTATGGGTAACAGCTTCAATTCAAAATTATAACAATTCAGGTCTGAGCTACAAAAACAGTAAAGAAATCAAATTTGCTTCATTAAAACTAAAATATGTCACCAAATACTTCTACAACACAGAAACTAAAATCAATACCCAAGCTATAAATAGATTCAAGGTTTGTTCCACCATCCCTGATTTTTAAATAAAAGGTAATATATCATTGATCAAGGAGTCCTGGTAGCATAGTGGATTATTAACTGGGATGCTAACCGAAAGGTCATGAGTTCCAATCTACCAGAAGCTCTGTGCAAAAAAAGGTGAGGTTTTCTGCTACAGTAAAGCTTTGTTGCTGGTAAGTACCTTCGAGGTGGTTCCAACTCACAGTGACCCTGTATAGGGTTTCTGAGGAGCAGATGGTGAGCTTGAACCACTGACCTTGTAGATCGAGCTAACTTTATAGTCCAGCGCATTAACCCACAGCACCACACCAGGACTCCTGGTAAAGATTTACAGCCTTAGAAACCCTATACAGGATCGCTAAGAGTTGAAGCAAATTCCACAGCACATAGCCATCACCTCTACCACCACCATGTCAATGATATGATGCAATGACTTAATAAGAATAATAACAAACACTCTGTGTCTAAGACTTAAAGGCAGACAGACACCAGAGTACTTTTAATAGTCTCTTCCAATGCAAAAGTGTCAATTATTCTATGGTCTTCACTATTCATTGTCCAACTTTCACATGTAGATGAGGCTACTGAACTCACCATGGCTTGTGTCAAGCACACCATAGTCCTCAAACAGCTTTGCTCTTGTAGCAGATTTGTCGATTTCAATACATCATTTGATTTCTTGCTTCCATGACTGTTGATGGTTCTTTCAAACCAAAATGAAGTCTTAACTCCAATCTTCTCTTCATTTATCTTGATATTATTTATTGGTACAATGGTGAGGATTTTTTTTTTTTCCTATATATTGAGGTGCAACCCATACCGAAGGCTGTGGCCTTTGATCATCATCAGTAAGTATTTTACATGCTCTTTGCTTTCAGCAAGCAAGGTTGTATCATCTGCATATCACAGCTTGTTAATGAGTCTTCCTCCAATCCTGATGCTTCGTTATTCTTCATAGAATCCAGCTTCTCAGATGCTCAGCATAAAGACTGAGTAAGTACAGTGAAAGAATACAACCCTTGCACACACATTTCCTAATTTTAAATCATTCAGTGTTCCCTTGTTCTGTTCAAAGGATTGCCTCTTAGTCTATGTATACGTTCTTCATAAGCACAATTAAGTGATCTGAAATACTCATTCTTCTCAGTGTTGTCCATAGCTTATCATGATCCACACAATCGAAAGGCTTTGTATAGTCAATGAAGCACAGGTTAGCATTTCTCTGGTATTCTCTGCTTTCAGCCAAGATCCATCTGACATCAGCAATGATATCCCTCATTCCTAGTCCTCATCTGAATCTAGACTGAACATCTGCCAATTCCCTTCCAATGTACTGTTGTAGCATTTTAAAAATTATCTTTAGCGAAATTTTTACTTGCAAGCGATATTTGTAATACATGATGATTTCTGTACTCCCTTGGGTTACTTCTGTTTGGGGTGGGCACAAATATGGATCCCTTTCAGTAGGATGGCAAAATAGCAATCTTCCAAATTTCTTTGTATAGATGAGTCTCTAGTGCTGTATTAGTTTGTTAAAAGATTTCAATTTATTGTCCGTCAATACCTGGAGTCTTTTTCTTTGCCAATGTCTTCAGTACACCTTGAACTTCTTCCTTCAGTACCACTGGCTCTTGATTATAAGCAACCTCTTCAAATGGTTGAACATCAACCATTTCTTTTTTGGTAAAGTACCTGTATATCCTTCCCATCTTCCTTTGATGCTTTCTGCATTATACAATATTTTGTTCACAGAATCCTTCAATATTTCAAATCTAGGCTTGAATTTTTCCTTCAGGTCTTTCAGCTTGAGAAATTCTGATGGTGTTCTTCCCTTTTAATTGTCTAACACCAGGTCTTTGTACATTTCATTATAATATCTGACTTCGTTTTCTTAAACTACCCTTTGAAACTTTCTGTTCTGCTCTTTTACTTCATCTTTTACATTTGCTTTAGCATCTCTAAACTGGAGAGCAAGTTTCAGAGTCTCTTCTGACATCCATTTTGGTCTTTCCTTCTTTCCAGTCTTCTAAATGACCTTTTGCTTTCTTCCTATATGATGTTCTTAATGTCTTCCTACAACTCTTTCTGGTCTTTGGTCATTAGTGTCTAACACATCAAATCTGTTCTTCAGTTCATCTCTTAAATTCAGGTGAGAGATGGTCAAGGTCATATTTTGGCTCTTATGGACTTGTTTTAATTTTCTTCAACATCAACTTGAATTTGCATATGAACAATGGATGGGCTGTTCCATAGTCAGCCCCTGGTCTTGTTTTGGTTAATAATATGGAGCTTTTCCACCATCTCTTTCCACAGGTAAAGTCAATTTGATTTTTGTATATTCCATCTGGTGAGGTTCATGAGTATACTCATCTTTAATGTTGTTTAAAAAAGTTATTTACAATGAA